AAGAATGTCTTTATCCTAATCTATTCTTTTTGATGCTGAAGATCAGTGTGGTTTGTCTTTGCCCATCAGTGCCCTTGGACACATATGAGATGCTCACAAAGTGGCACTTACTTGGTCCTTAAGACATATTTGTCTTACTGCTCATCAACACTCCTTTGGGGAAAAACTTCTCCCATTGCTGAAAAGCTCTGCAATCAAATATATGTACTTTATCACAGCAATGGCAGAGAAAATGCACTACCTGCCTCTATTCTCCCTCAGGATGCTGATTGTTGGCTGCCCCCCTTACCACCAATTTGGGGTCCTAATTTTATAAGGTTCTTTCAGCTCTTTGTTCTACTATGAAGTACTGAGAATTTCCTTTCTGTTGTTCTACTGCCACATCCAATTGCTCATAAATTACTTAAAAAAGCTAAGACAAGGCAAATAATTATGCGTATCTGGATGAAAGTGTAACAATATATTACAAAAATAATAGTTTGATTCTGCGTCTTTATATTTCTCCTCTATATGGACTGCCAGAAAATTATTTGCTACTTTGGAAGTGAGATAAAATCAAACTTGTTATCTTCAGATTTAATGAAAGCCTCCCTCTTTCCTCTTTTATTGCTTCTCTACTGATAAGAGTCTTTGTCTAAGCTTTCCTTTTAGCAGCACAGATGTAAAGCTTCTGGCACACCTGATATTCTTCTTAATGTAGAAATTTGTCCATCTGAATAGGCATGAAAATTACAATTCAGTTTTGTTATCCTAATTTATTTCATTGTACTCACTGTATTCCTTTCTTTTTACAGTTGCTGCCAGGGTCCAAACCTCATTATTAATTTATTTAACAGTGACATAGGTGTTCCTTCTCTTACATTAATAAGCCACCTTTTCTGAAACGGGTAGTTTACTACTGGCAATAGGTGAAAAGTCAACAGCGTTATAGTGGAAAAGGCCAAGATGCACCTAAGGTAAACTGTATAATATGCTGATTTAGCTGAGAAACAGGATTTAATTTCACTATAAAACCTGTACATGCCTTTGGAAGCCAGACAACTTTGACTGATTTTTCTTAGCTGGTTGGGTATCCAAACTTGTGAGAAATCTGATGTACGGTCCTAGGGCACTGAAAATTGTTGATTTATTTTTCTAATATAAACTTTTCTTGTTAGCTTGAACTCAGCTGAATATAATTTGCCCCCCAGGAAAGGTCTTTGACTGTATTTCCCATCTGCAGTGATCACGATGTCTGCTAGACTTCCCTACAAAGGAGTACAACATATGTTAGCCTATCCTATATATCCTATGCGATGGAGCTTAGAGTTTGTCCTGCGAGACAGCCTGCAGGATCTCCTGCTGTTCAGCTTCTGAGCCAGGGCTGACATCAGGATTCCCGTCTACAGGCTTGGCCCATCAATATGGGGTAGAAGGGCTGCGCCACCTTCTGAAGAGCAGTATGCTTCCTTCAGGGGGAAGCCACAGATGGCATCAGTTCCTCTGGACCACATGCCATGGGGGCAATGATCACAACAGGCATCGTGTTCAATGAAGCTGAGAGGATCCAGTTATTCCTGCAGTGAGGCAGGTGAAAATGAAAGTCATCATAAAACTGGAAGAAAGATAAACATCTGCCATGCTCTTTACAAGAAGAGCGCACTGATAGAAGCAAAGGGGCATGTTCCTTGAGAAGAAAAAAATCTGAGCAGTACAATGTCTGGAAGGGGACTGAAGCACAGAGTAATTGAAAGTCCCTGGTAAACAGAGGCGTTCACAGATGGTTTTTATTCTGAGGAACTGTGAAAATCTCTTGATGCATCTAAATGGATAGGTGGTCCATTTGCAAATACTTTTCTACCGCTGAAGATGCTTTTTGTGGCAAATATCATGTATTAAACTAAAAGGTTAAACCAAAAATTGGAATAGCGAAGTTGGGAGGAAAATGTACTTAGGCTCCTAGGGATTTAAAGGGTTTGTTGTTGGTGCAGAGATCCAGCATTTGGCTTAGAGGAACAGTGCGGAGGGGGCACTCCTGAAGAGCCTCTGCTAAGAAAGTGTGCACAGAGCAGCAGACCTCCAGCTGTGATAGCTGAGGGGTCACAGCATGTACTTCTGTTTGATTTATTAAATTTAAGGACTGTCAGGCAAATATTGTTGCCAAGCAATAGCCCAGAATGTGAGGAAGAGGTGATGCACGCTCATGCCAGATGTATGGCAGCTTTTAAGGAAGTAGATCTAATGCTCAACCCATTCTGTATTGCTTTTGGTGTTTCTAACAAAAAGGCATTGCAGTAGATATGTGGTTTTGTTTTTAGACTCTGTTCCACACAAGAGACTCCAGTAGAAGAGACTAGGATGAATCTCCACAACAGCAGTTGAGAATTAATCCTAACCTCTAAACTTCAATCTGTTAATTTTCTGTAGGTTTGAGACAGGGAATTGTCTAATACCATGTCCAGTGTATGCTGCAGTACTTGCTGCAAACTGGTATTGCTGGATGACTAAAATATGACTGTCAAATCCAAAATTGTTACTACTTGGATTCTTCAAGGAATTCTTAAGTCAAAGCAGACTCCAGGTTTCTTTTAAATACAGTAAAATAGCCATGAGTTTTGTCACTCCTATACTTAACGTGTGAATTTCTTTGAAAAAAGCATTGACAAACCTGCCTGCCTCAAAAAAGGGATTCACAGGAAAGGGATTTTTATTTTTAGCTTTCAGGGAATACAAGGAGCTGGCAACCAAAATAGCAGCAGATGGGAATCCCGTTGTCCCTGCTCAGGAAGAACTTTCAAAGGCCTTGGGCCATCTTTCCATCTCAGCAAATCCTAACTTGAGCTTTCGGTCACATTTTGGAATATGTGATCACCTTCAAATAGTTTGATAAAAAAACAAGCAAACTGGGGAGAAAATGTGTGGTGAATTAAGGCTATTTTCCCATCTACTAGCAACTGTTTCTTCAGGATGAGTAAAAGGACTTCCAAATAGAAAATGAGCTGGAACAATGTTTCAAGGATTTTGCCTGTATCTTTCTACAGCTGGGCAGCAGATGTGCTGGATGCAGGATGCTCTGGGCAGCCTGTGAAGACTGGGCAGATATCACATTTTAACAGCCAGTTACTGCTGCATCCCTCCCGGTGAAAACTGTAAAGCTCTCCTCTTCACCTTTCAATGCAGTGAAAACAATGACAGCAATACCGATGAGGACTCAGAATAAATGGCTTTGGTCTGCAACCAAGCCCTTCTGACAGTTAACAGACCAGGCTGTCAGTAGCTTCACCTGCCTTGCTCCCAAACCCTGCTGCGCTGGGAGGGATCTGCCTTTCCTCAACCGAGTACCTGCTGGTGTTAGCCACTGAGCAGTTCAGTTCTCTGCATCCTTGTGTTCCTGCTTGCAGCATTTCAGTGCCTAGTCTGTCCTTCCCATAAAGCCTTTGGGAATCCTGTGAAAACTACACAATGGTAGGTTTTACCACAAGGGCCCGTGCTGCCTACAAATGTTCCACAATCCCTAAATTCCCACCTCCCCTCAATTTGTTCAGGTTCCTTGAATACCACCTTGATGAAGGGAGGCCACCATATGTATTTTAGCTGTTTTGTGTCTTTCCTTCTGTATCCACTAATTGCTGGCATTCCTTTGCATTTTCTCCCATGCTGCCTCCTCAGCTGTCATTTCTGAGGACTATCCACTGTGGGCCTGAGATCTTTTTCATGAGTGGCAATAGCTCATCATTGCATAAGTCGTTAGGGCTGTCCTCTCCCTCCCTGAACATTACTTTGTGTTTATTGATACAGCGTGTCACCTGCTGTTTTGTCACTCAGTGCTGTAACCATCCCTCTGCTGCTTCTTGCAGCCAGCTTTCAGTCTGACTACCCAGAACAACTCGGTGGGTCACTAAACTCCATCATTTCATCACTCATTCGCTTTTCCTGGAAGCAGCCTGAAAAGGCTCAGGGTCCAGAAAGGATCCTTCCAGCAGGTGAACCATGTGGGAAAGTGGAGAATCCCTCGGTGTGTTCCTGCCCTCGATGTGCTCTCCTTCAGCCAGTGCAGAAGATGGTGCAGTTCTTCACCTCATTGCAGCCAAGATTAGCAAGAAGTCTTCGGTGACGGGCGCCATGGAAAGCCCTCTGAACGTCTGCTACATTGACCAAGCAACTCTCTGCCTCCACAGGGCTGCTCTGACGGGCTGGGGTGAAGGCAGACCTGGCACCGGGGAATCCAGCCCGCTCCTCGGCTGACGCCCCATCCCTCCTCGGCCGGCAGCCCGGGCTCCTGTGCGAGACCCGGCTCCAGCTGCCCCGACACCCTGGGCCTGCGAAGGAGGGGGCCGGGGACGAGAACTCGCTGGCCGCTGCAAGAGCCCCTCCA